AAAAAAAAAAAAAAGTCATGTTTTTTAAGTGTCATTTATGCACAAGGCAGTTTTTGGACCTTGTGGTTTGGGACCCCGAACCTCGGAAACCCTGGACTCTTTCCCCTGTAGCCTAGGCAGGTCAGCCTAAGAAGGGTGGCACTGGCTCAGCGCCTATAGCTCAGCTGCTAGGGTGCCAGCCACATGCACCAGAGCTGCCGGGTTTGAGCCCAGCCCAGGCTTGCCAAACAGCAATGACAGCTACAACCAAAAACTAGGTGGGTGTTGTGGCAGGTGCCTATAGTCCCAGCTACTTGGGAGTCCGAGGCAAGAGAACCTCTTAAGCCCAAGAGTAGAGTTTGAGGTTGCTATGAGCAATGGCATCACAGCACTCTACCGAGGGCAACATAGTGAGACTCTATCTCAAAAAAATAAGGGTAGCACTGAGCACCTCTCCGTTCCAGAGTCTTAAAGCTGGTCACATCGAAAGCTGATTGCACACATCTCTTCCTGACCTTGGGTCCAGGGAGTTAACACTGATTACTTAAAATTGTCCACAGTGCAAGAATTTACACCATGGGAACTGGCAAATGCTACGACCATGGCTCCTCCTCCCCCCACACACACCCCTCCAGTGAGTTATTAAACATTCTCCAGCACATTGCAGACAGACTCTTTCCTTAAATGTCAACACTCTGACTTGGCGGTATGTGTTCTTTACATTCTTACCTTCTGCCTGAACTCTTCCCCCAAGTTGGCACATGACTGACTCTCTCTGGTTATTTGATCTCAACTGAGATGACACCTCTCAAGATGCTCCTGAACACCTTGTTACTGTTTTCATAGCATGTATTCCCCCCTCCCCCAGAAACTTCCCGTGTGCTTGGGGGTTGTTTTGTTTTGTTTTGTTTTTGACAGTTTTTGGCCGGGGCCAGGTTTAAACCTGCTACCTTTGGTATATGGAGCCACTGCCCTACTCCTTGAGCCATAGGTACCACCCTGCTTGTTTGTTTATTGTCCATGTCTATCCCCTGTCCCAACCCCTCACCAACAGAATTTTCCATCTGTTCTCTCAACAGCCTCCTTTTCTGAAAGAGTCCGGAACATGTCACCTGATGAAATCAAGATCCCACCAGAACCCCCTGGCAGGTGTTCAAATCACTTACAAGTAAGCCCAAGGCTCAGCTGTTGAGACCCAGGCAGGTTAGGTAGCTGGGGGCTAGGTGTTTGCTTCGGTCTTACCTTTAGGAGGCCATGGCAGGGAGAGGATCCAAGACTTCTATAAGGAAACTGCTGGCTGGGGAAGAGCCCACCACCTGCTTACCTCCATTACCCTGATCTTGGGAATTGGTTCATTTACCCACTGCCACACCCACATATTCCATGTCCTGCTCCAGAGGCCCCCAGCGTACTCTCAGTGAGGCCCTGATCTTTTTTGGTTTTTTTCGTTTTCTTTTCTTTTTTTTGAGATAGAGTCTCACTTTGTCACCCTGGGTAGAGTCCTATAGCATCATAACTCACAGCAACCTCAAACTCTTGGGCTTAAGAGATTCTCTTGCCTCGGCCTCCCAAGTAACTAGGACTGTAGGCGCCTGCCATGACACCCAGCTATTTTTAGAGGCAGGGTCTTGCTCTGGCTCAGGTTGGTCTCAAACTAATAAACTCAAGCAATCCACCTGCCTTTGGGATTACAGGCATGAGCCACTGCGCCCAGCCTTGTCCTGATCTTTTCTACATGGCCCAGCTGACAGAATGGGAACTTCTCAGAATTTTGCTAAGGAACTGAGGGACTTTCTGAATATAAAATAAGCAAATTATAGAAATGCAAAAACATAAGCATTTATATGTATAAAATTCCTACCCTAATATCCTTAAAATCCCAATTCAGTAGCTTCTTGCCTAACAAAATCTTACAGACCTGATCTGGGGTTTTGAAATCCCAGAGATTTGGAGCTTTTAGTGAAGTTACTCCCTTAGGGGACAGCTAGGATTTCAGCCTCTATGGCACCCTGCTCTGTTTTTGATTCTAGAGCTCCCATTGGTTGCCTCTGGCTACACAGCAAGCCAGTGGTACCACCCTAACGGATGGATGACTAATGGGACCTGGGGCTGAGGAATGCAGCAGGCTGGGGAGGGCCAGAAACAGGACTGGGGACACAGCAGATTTCTCTTTCTTTCCCGGAAGTCTCCTCCCTTCGCTGAGTTGTCTACCTGCCACTACCCTCCAGGATCACATCACCCTTCACGCCAGATGACAAGCTCCAGCCTGTAAGAAGAACTACAGCAATCTGCCAGGCAGAGACAACCAACCACTCAGCCTTTGAATTCAGAATATTCTTTCTCCTTTTTAGATAATACTAATGGTAGAAGCCATGACATTTGAGCAAACATTTTAGTTCATCTGAGGTGGTAGAACTGATCTAATGGCCCAGGAGACACAGCCAAGTTGTCTGTAAGATCTGGGTTTGCCCCAGGTTGCCATGCTTCCTATATAAGGCTTCTGTCCAGTACCTTTGAAGATAGAACATTGAGGAAAGCAGTTTGTCATACTTGGCTTCTCTCTTCCCAAATTAATTGCTCTACAGATCTCTCTCTGCAATTGAGTGCTACATCCAGCCCATCTCAGTAGAAAGATCTGGCCTTCTGACATGGAGAGTGGATCACCTCTCCTGATATTTCCTAAAGGGGGTCACGTGGGACCTCCAGCCCAGCGCACCTCTTCTTAGAAGTAAAGTGTCCCAAATGTTTTCCTTCTGGAGAATCTGGAAAGTTAACCACCACTGAGGGGAGAGTTGCAGTGGGATCTTGCACTGGTGGGCACCCACCTTCCTGAGTAAGACTACTCTTCTCAGAGGTGGCTTCGTTTGGAAACTTGGGTGCTTTGGACCTCTTCATTGATGTTGGCAGTGTCAACACTGATGCCATTTACTTTGGGCCTCATCTCCGTGGGCTGGGCAGGACCCCCTTCCTGAGGACATCTGTGGCTTTGGCCACAGTAGGTAAGCCTGGGTCCCTGCCAGGTCATTCTCCAGTTTCCCAGTGAAGATCTGGGCAGCAACCTATGGGGGAGTTTTAATGAGAAATGAGCTCTTGACCCTTGACAAACTTCCAACAAATGACATTCTAGGAAATCTGAGAGACTAAACCCACAAAACTCTACTCCAGCCTTCCTCTAAAAGGACGTAGCCCTTCCCACGTCTCCATGACTCACAGATCTGAGGACTTAGCCCATGTTAATAGAAAACCAACATCAGTCCCTGCATATCAGCTATAATGCATTGAGCTGTTCTTTGGGTGATCCAGGAGCTGATTAGCCAGGTGGGGGCTTGTTTCTCATCTGCCCCGCGGCTTCTCTGCCGTGGCCTTTTTACTACTCAATGGACTAATCCTCCAAAGGGAGCCAGCAGGGATCAACGGTGAAAACAGACTTGGTTTATCTTGCTTGTACACAACTCTGAACAAAGGCTAGTTGAGAAAGAATTCAGCTAGAGGTAGGCTTCATATGGCTCTGGGGCCTCACCTTCATGCTCCATACAACTCTCATGACCGTAGGCTCAGACAGTGATCAGGTCTGTCATATACATACTCTTTTCTTCTTCCATAGGACAAGATTCAGAAGCTTTATGAGCGAAAGATAAAAGAGGGAATGGATATGAACTACATTATCCAAAGGAAGAAAGAATTTCGAAACCCCAGGTGAGTTTCTCATGAGCTTGTAGAGTCAGTTGAGTTGTTATTCATGTTGGCCCAGGGACCAGGTACCCCCAGGGAGGTGGTGAGAAGAGGCCCAGCTCAGATACCACTAAAGCCCAAAGGAACCATCACCTAGACTTGTCATTACACTAAGTCCCTACTAAACACAGCAGGATGTGTTAACCCAGCCAGAAGTTTGCTGTTTAATATCCAGGCTATGTAGAGTGGAAGCTGAGACACCTGGACTAGATTTGGGGAACCAGTCTTGCTCTCTGCCAAAGCTCATAACCTGTTAAGGCCTCAATTTCCTCATCTATACAATGGGAGAATCAGACTACACAATCCCTTTAGGTTCTCCTTCCAGTTCTAAAAAGTTGGTTTTTCCATACTGATGAGAAGTTGAGGACCAGAGCTGTGTCTGGGTCTTATTCTGCCTACTGCTCAATCCAGTGACACTTACCTAGGAAAGAGGGTGGCATGTGACAGTAAAGACCTACTTTGGCCCAGCCTACCACACTTGGCCATGCAGACTAAAGGTCAGAGACATCCAGATAAGATGCAAAAGGCAGCCATCACCTTGACCCCATACTTTTTCTGGCCCCTGGCTAGCAGTTGAATCTGCCTAGGAGGGTTGGGCCTCCCATCAGGAAGCCTCCTTAGAATAAGTGAGCTGGGTGGAAAGGTTTATGAAAGGGACAGGGGGAATGCCTGCTCAATATCTATGCTGTTCCACTTTCAGCATCTATGAGAAACTGATCCAGTTCTGTGCCATTGATGAGCTCGGCACCAACTATCCAAAGGTATGTCCTGCCTGCAGAGACTAAAAGGTGATGGGGTCCCCAGGGTGCTGGTCTTGCTCTGTGAGGTTTAACCCTGCAGCCACAGAAAGCCCTGTGTAGCAGCACAGCTGGTTGTAAAACACAGTGCCCATCTCTTTTGTTTGAGTCCCTTCTATTCTGAAATAGTATAGTAAAGAAATACCAGTGACAGGCCTGGCACAGAGGCTCATACCAGTAATCCTAGCACTCTGGGAGGCTGAAGAAAGTGGACCGCCAGAGCTCACGAGTTTGAGACCATCCTGAGCAAGAGCAAGACTCCATCTCTACTAAAAATGAAAAAATAGCTGGGCGTCGTGGTAGGCACCTGTAGTCCCAGTTACTTAGGAGGCCCAGGCCAGAGGATTGCTCAAGCTGTTGTGAGCTATGTCACCAGGGCACTCTACCCAGGGTAACAGAGTGAGAGACTGTCTCCAAAAACAAAAAAAAATGATTCTAGTGACAGACCTAGTCCCTGGCTCCTAACTGGTTGGGCTCCCTGCTCCTGCAGACCACCCTGGCACTGCTAAACAAGTACTTTATTGCTCTTGTGTTCTTAATAGCTTGCTAGTTACCCCTTGGCTAGAGACTACGGATGTCAACTTGAGCCCCTGTGTTGTCAGGAGTGAGGAAACATGGGAAGACTGGCATAAGAGACTTGGGTTTCAAAGTTGTTTGTCATCTGATTGTCCCCACTGACTACAGCTATTTAACTTCCTTTTTCAGGATATGTTTGACCCCCATGGCTGGTCTGAGGACTCCTATTATGAGGCATTAGGTATCCTTCCACCTCCCCACCCACCCACCCACCCACCCGTCCATGTTCCCATCTAGTCAGTCATTCAGGTGACACATATTTCAGGGTGTCCTCTAAATCAGGCCATGTCCAAGGGACTGGGTATAGTCACCAACAAGACAGATGCCTATCCCTGACATATAAGGCTTATGACATAGCAAACCTTATGATAGGGTCAGAGTATCAATGAGCAGTGGGAGTTGCCAGGTACAGGGGGACTCTCTGGCAAGCGGGGTCTCCTAACCTGGCCAAAGGGATGGGAAGGCTGCACTGGGACTTGAAGGGGTGTGGGCAGAATGCCCTGGGCAGAGGGGCCTGGGTTCCAAGGCGAGCAAGAGCATAGCCTATTCCTCAGGGACCTGTTAGGGAGAACTGGGGGGAATGTCCAAGGGTCTAATCCCTAGGCCATGAGGCCAGAGCCTACTCTACAGAGGTGTTTTATTTGGCCTATATGAGTTTTGTCTTCTTTAAATTTGTGTGAGTTGATAACATTTTACATAAAATTTGTAATTCTAACTTCTCTTGCTCAGTGGGAAGGTAGTCCACACTGCTTTCCTGCAAGGCAGTAGTGAGCTGGAACTGGGGGCAGCTGATTATTCAGACAGAGGACTAGCATCCCTCAGACCCCTGCTCCATGCTAACAAGGGAACAGCACTTCATTTCACCTAGTGCAAAAGGACAATAAGCCTGTGAGGGCCTCCAGTCTGTGGAAAAGAACGCAGGTATCAGAGCAGTGAGGGGACCAGGCTTTCTTGGCCCAGAACTGCTTCTGAGCTTTTGTTAACAGTTTATCTTGTCTTTGTAGCCAAGGCCCAGAAGATTGAAATGGATAAATTGGAAAAGGCCAAAAAGGAGCGAACCAAAGTAAGTGATGACAGACCTCCTAGCTGGAAAAGGCAGATGCGTGCAATGTGGGGATCCTGCCTGCTGCCCTGCCCTGGGCCTCCTGCATTGACCAGGCTGCTGGGCCTGTGGCCTCTTGCCTCTGCTTCATTCTTGGCGTCTTGTGGTTTCCCACATTGTATCTTCCACTCTCTTGCCACTGCAGAGCCCTGGTATCTTTGTCTCTTTTGGGTGGGTCATCAGTGCCCTCCCTGGCCTGACAGGACTGAGATGTTTTCCTTCTGAGAGTGCTGGCCCCCAGCTTGCCCCAATCTTATGAATTTTTGGCTTCCAGATCTGACCTCAGCTACCTGCCTGGGTGCTACCCTATAAGTCCTGTGTCCAGTGGCTGAGTGACTCCTCATTTTAGGACCCTAAGGGCTACATCTTCCTGAGCAGCATGGTTTAGACCAGGCATCCTCAAACTACGGCCCACATGCAGCCCGCCTAGGACATTTATCTGGCCCGCCGGGTATTTTTGCCACCGCTGCCTGTCTTGCTTAGCAGCCCGGGGCCCACAGTCCGGCCATTCAACAATCTGAGGGACAGTGAACTGGCCCCCTGATTAAAAAGTTTGAGGACCCATGGTCTAGACCCTTTAGGTAGCATCAATTTGGCCGTGAGACCAAACAGTGTCTCTGGACAATGTGCCTTTGTGACCAGAATCTCCGAGCAAGGGAGAGCACCAGGCACCAGGACACTGGCTCCCCCAACTCTGGTTGGGCCTGACCTCCTTGAGTAGCTGTGCCCTCTAGACCACTCTTCTCACTCCAAGCAGAGGGGCTGTAGAGTCTACATGTGCTGGCAGCCTTCTCACAGGTGCTGGCTTGGTGGGCCAGGAAGGTGGGAGCTGGTGAAAACGATAATTGGGGTTTCTCATTCTTAACCCTTGATTGAATCTCCCTTCTCTTTCTTTCCCTCTCCCTTCCAAACCCCAGGCTTGTTGCAGGGACGTGTCTGCAGCCCCTGGGGACTGGAGCTGTCCTTCCCCTGTGCGGGTGGGCACCACCTCCTCCTGGGTGTGAGGAGGAGGGGCCTGGCCAAACAGTTCTGGGCATGTGAGGTGGGAGGTGGACAGGGGGGTGCTGAGCGTGTGCAGAGACCAGGTGATGCTGGGAGGGACCCGATGCTGTTTGGAAAGCTTTTCCTTGAGTGGTTAAAAGCCCCCTTGGGCTCTTATTAGATACTTCTCCTTCCCCCAGACATCACAGCAGAGTTGATTTTTAATGGCTCCTTTGTATAGTGCCTAACTCCTGTCCCCTGGGAGCAGATAATGGTAAAAGAACGTGGATGCACAGCTTTGCCCAGGTCTGACTCTCCTCCCTCTTGCCTTCCAGATTGAGTTTGTGACGGGCACCAAGAAAGGCACTACAACCAATGCCACGGCCACCACTACCACCACCGCCAGCACAGCTGTTGCAGGTAGAAAGCGGCTAGTTCTAGCTCCACGAGGCTCTGCTTCCCGCCACACCACAGATGGAACAAGGGGTGTCCCTAGCTTGTTTGGGGGACAAGATACCACATGGCTCTGGGCCGAGGCCTGGTCTTGCTCTTTCCTGAGCTAAGACTTTAAGAACCACCATTGGAGTCTGGGGTGGGACTCAGTTCACTGGCTGCCCCTTGGGCCTTCAGGCCTTCTGGGCCAGGGCTTGCCAGCAGCCTGCAGGGATTGAAGGGTGCTGCTCTCCAATTGGCCATGACCCTGACTTCTTTCTCACTTTATCTCCAGATGCCCAAAAGAGAAAGAGCAAGTGGGACTCAGCCATCCCAGTGACCACGATAGCCCAGCCCACCATCCTCACCACCACAGCCACCTTGCCAGCTGTCGTCACAGTTACCACCAGTGCCAGTGGCTCCAAGACCACTGTCATCTCTGCTGTGGGCACAATTGTGAAGAAGGCCAAGCAGTGACATGAGGAGCTGCCCTGGGACTTGAAAGGACTGTGTGGCCCAGTGACGCTGCCCACTGGGAGGCACCACTTTGTATATTTTAGGACTGGGACCTGCTCCCCAGATGCAGGGACCTGCTCCCTGAAAGCAGCTGCCATGCAGCATTCCAGCTAGAAGGACAGTGCAGCACAGGAGGGCACTGTGGACAGCATCCATGCACCACTCACAGAGTCTCTTGCCCTATTAAAAGAGCCACGTTCTCATACCCTGGCATCTCAGGAGCATTGGCCTCTTACGGTCTGTTTTTAGGCAAATTCAAAAGCTCAAGTGTCACTCCCTCCATCTTCTCAGTTGGGATTACTGCCAGTGTGGTGACAGAAGCCTGGGGCTCTGCTCGGAGGGGTGGCCAGTGAAGTCACCATGTCATTCTCAGTGTGCTCCTCTTACAGGGGCAGGTGGGATCCCAGGGAGGAGTGAGACCCCATACTTCCCCATCTCCTGCCCTGATCCCAAAACCCAGCCAGTTCTCAGCAAAAGCAGGGGCCTCTACTCCCTTGGGTGCACTTGACACTCCCTACACCAGACCACTTCTTAGACACACCCAGGCTTTTGAAGTTGAGCCAGTTACCAGGAGGGCCGGAGTGAGATCCAGACTTGCATAGGGAGGGGAGCCATCTGTGCCTGGCCAAGGCTGTCCCAGCCCCTAAGTGCCCCTGAGCGTGGTCAGCAGGAGCAGAGCAATGAGGGATGAATCACCTCCGCTGCTGGGCCGCTTATTGTTTACGGGAAAGCCCTGCTCCTGGGAGGGCGCCTGCCACCCCACCCTTCCTCTGTGTGTTATCTCTGCCCCACAGCAGCCCCTAGGCAGCACCAGCAGCCACTGCCTCCTAAGGCCAAAACAGGTTTCCCAGCCACCACCAGCCTGAAAGGCCAGAGGGGACCTTTTTTACCTTTCTTGGTCTTTGGCGGCTCTTCTCTCCATTCCCTGGAAGGGCTGAGTGTCAGAGAAGGAAGCCGGGCTGTGTTGTTTCTGTGGAGCAGGTAAAGCTTAGATGGGTCCTGAAGTTGCTCCTGGTGCTGTTGTGTGACCTGAGGGCTATAATGAACTCTTCCCCTGAGGTCCTCAAAGTAAAAATTTGAATCCACCTGCCCTGTTCCCCCTTCTATACACCAAGCACTTCAGGAGGAGGTGGGACTCTGCATCTCTGGTGAGGGGCTGCTGCCGCTCATCCCTAAGTGGCCTACAAAAAGGCTTTTTGCTCTGCAGTCCCTGGGTGCCCCTCTCATTATCCAAGGGCACCACTGCGGAGGCTCTGTGGAAGGCAGTGTGGCTCAGTGGAAAGAGCAAATGTACAGTGGGCCCCCATGTCTGCAGACCCAGTCTAAAACAAGTTGTGTAGGGCCCTTAACCTCTGTAAGTCTGTTTTCCTTCTCTGTCATATCACAGAAATAAAGCTTCCTTAGATGGTTGTGAGGAAGATGATTCATGCAAAAGCTTCATAAACTGTAAGATACTCTACGAGTGTTTGTTGTTGGTCAGTGTTCTTGTTTTGGACCAAGGAAAGAAGCAAACTCAAGGCCTTCTCCCCATCTGGGGCTCTTTGGCGGGAGGTGCACACCGTGGGCAGGTCTCTTCCCTCTGCCCTTCACCCTGCTCTGGGCCCCAGTAGTGAGGTTCCCAGGGAGTTAGTTAACACAGGCTTAGAGCTGGGCAGCCCGGGCTGCAAGAGCTGTTCCACCTAAGAAGCCTCGCGAGTTCAATCAGGGTCTTTAATCCCTCTGAATTTTACCTGGGTTTTGTTTTTCTGGGGGAGGAGGGGTATAGAGATTGGGTCTTACTATGTTACCCAGGCTGGTCTTGAACTGGCTTCAAACCAACCTCCCACCTTTGTCTTCCAAAGTGCTGGAATTATAGGCCTGAGAAACTGGCCACTTTCCTTTAATCCTCTGTAAAATGGTGCCTGCCCACCTGAGCCCCATTGAGGATGGGCCACTGTGTGTCAACAATTGTTGAGATTGGATGTCCCAGGCACTGGGGACAAAAGTTGTGCCTGCTCACCAGGAGAGCTCAGTCTGTCCAAACTTAATGCTCTTAGGTGGTGCCTGTGGCTCAGTGACAAGGGTGCTGGACCCATATACTGAGGTTGGCAGGTTCAAACCTGGTCCCAGCCAAACTGCAACAACAAAAAAAAAACAACTGAATGCTCTCCACATCCTCTGACCCACTCACACATCTCCGTCTCTCCTCCTAGAGTTCTGATCTTGGGTGATGACATCAGGATTCATCCAAGTCCCAGCTTTGTACATGAAATACCCTGAAGATGCAGCTCAGGTGTTCAAAATCCCTTCCCAACCCCCAGGACGCCTAGTTGCTCCTTTCTCTGCTCTCAGCACTCTGTTGCCTCTGGGATAATGTTTCAGCACCTGTAACCTCTGCCCACACATTGGGCTGAGACCACTAGTGTCTCTAAGTCCTTGTGAGCAAAGGTAAAGCCGTGAATGCTGTGTGCCCCGGTGCCTGGCAAGAGGTGAATACTCAGATAATTGGGCAGATAGAGGCATGGAGGAAAGGAGAATTTGCTTGTCTTCCAACAGTGAAGTCCCTGCTTTTATGGTCCTTGTACTGAAAGTTCCCACCGCTCCATGCTCCCTGGTCACTGCATCACTCAAACCTTTGTGGCCAGATTCCAAAATGCTGTTGCAGATTGGCTGAAGGTGGCAATCTTGAGGCTCAGTGATGGCTGCAGGAGCGTTCATTATTCTCTCTAATGTTACAAATATTTGGAAAATTCTATAATAAAATTTTAAATGGCTATTGAGCTATAAAAAAGAACAAGGGATGTCTCCACGGACAGATTTGGAATGATCTTCAAGAGATTAAATGAAAAGTCAAGGTATGGAACAGTGCATGTGATAACACTCCCTTTTGTGTAAGAAAGGGATGAAATACAAAACAATACACAAGAGATACAAAAATCAGGCACGGCGCCTATAGCTCAACCGGCTAAGGCGCCAGCCACGTACACCTAAGGTGGC